GTCTGAAATTCTCCTTTTTGATGGGGTCTTTGCCTGGTTTGAGGATTAAGGTAATGCTGACCTCATAGAATGAGTTTGGAAGTTTTCCTTCTGTTTCTATTTTTTGATACAGCTTCAGTAGAATAGGTATTATTTCTTCTTTGAATGTTTGGTAGAATTCCCCAGGGAATCCATCAGGCCCTGGACTCTTGTTTTTGGGAGGTTTTTGATCACTACTTCAATCTTGTTAGTGGTTATTGGCCTATTCAGATTGTCAATTTCTTCCTGTTTCAGTCTTGGCAGCTTGTAGGTTTCTGCGAAGGCATCCATTTCATCCAGATTGCTCAGTTTATTGGCATAGAGTTGTTGATAATAATTTCTAATAATTGTTTCTATTTCCTTGGTGTTAGTCATGATCTCTCCCCTTTCATTCATCATTTTATTAATTTGGGTCCTTTCTCTTTTCTTTTGGATAAGCCCGGCCAGTGGTTTATCGATCTTATTAATTCTTTAGAGAACCAGCTTCTAGTTTTGTTGATCTGATCTACTGTGTTTCTGGTTTCTAATTCATTGATTTCTGCTCTAATTTTAATTATTTCTCTTCTAATGCATGGCTTAGGCATCGTTTGTTGCTTTTTCTCTAGTTCTTTAAGGTGTAGAATTAGTTGGTGAATTCGGGATTTTTCTATTTTTTTGAGTGAGGCTTGGATGGCTATGTATTTCCCCCTTAGGACCGCCTTTGCAGTATCCCATAGGTTTTGGACCGATGTGTTTTTGTTCTCATTGATTTCCATGAATTGTTTAAGTTCTTCTTTGATTTCCTGGTTGACCCAAACATTCCTGAGCAGAGCGGTCTTTAGCTTCCAAGTGTTTGAATTTCTGCCAAATTTTTTCTTGTGATTGAGTTCCAGTTTTAAAGCATTGTGGTCTGAGAATATGCAGGGAATAATCTCAATCTTTTGGTATCAGTTGCGGCCTGATTTGTGACCCAGTATGTGGTCTATTCTGGAGAAAGTTCCATGTGCGCTCGAGAAGAATGAGTATTCTGTTGTTTTAGGGTGGAATGTTCTGTAAATATCTATGAGGTCCATCTGGTCCAGTGTATCATTCAAAGCTCTTGTTTCCTTGTTGATTTTCTGCTTAGATGATCTGTCCATTGTTGAGAGTGGAGTATTGAGGTCTCCTACAGTTAACATATTGTTTTCAATATGACTCTTTATTTTGGTGAACAGTTGGCTTATGTAGATGGCTGCTCCCATGTTGGGGGCATAGATATTTAAAATTGTTAGGTCTTCTTGTTGGATAGACCCTTTAAGAATGATATAGTGTCCTTCTGTGTCTCTAATTACAGACTTTAGTTTAAAATCTAATTTGTCTGATATAAGCATTGCTACCCCAGCTTTCTTTTGAGGTCCGCTGGCATGAAAGATGGATCTCCAGCCCTTCACGTTCAGTCTGGATGTATCTTTAGGTTCAAAATGAGTCTCTTGTAGGCAGCATATGGATGGGTCCTGTCTTTTTATCCAATCTGCAATCCTGTGTGGTTTTATGGGAGCATTTAGGATTCACGTTGAGTGATTAGTGAAAGATATGAATTAATTGTCATCATGTTGCCTGTGAAGACGTTGTTTTTATAGATTGTCCCTGTACATTTCTGTTGTATATCATTCTTGGGGTCTTTCTCCTTTTATAGAACCCCCCTTAATATTTCTTGCAGGGCCAGCTTAGTGGTCACATATTCTTTCAGTTTCTGCCAGTCTTGGAAGCTCTGCATCTCTCCATTCATTCTAAATGACAGCCTTGCCAGATAAAGTATTCTTGGCTGCATGTTCTTCTCGTTTAGTACCCTGAATATGTCTTGCCAGGCCTTTCTGGCTTGCCAGGTCTTTGTGGATAGGTCTGACGTTATTCTGATGTTCCTCCCTCTGTACGTAAGGAATCTCTTCCCCCTAACTGCCCTTAAGATGGTTTCCTTGGTTCTAAGATTTGCGAGTTTTACTATTACATGCCGAGGCATTGGCCTGTTTTCCTTGATCTTGGGAGGGGTCCTCTCTGCCTCTAGGGCGCAAATGTTTGTTTCATTCCCCAGATTAGGGAAGTTCTCAGCTACAATTTGCTCAAATACATCTTTGAGTCCTCTCTCTCTCTCTCCACTCCCTCCAGGATTCCAGTTATTCTGACATTGGAAGGCTTCATGGTGTCACTTATTTCTCTGATTCTATTTTCATGGATTCTGAGTTGTTTTTCCCTGGCCTCCTCTTTTCCCTTTTTATCTATTATATTGTCTTCCAGGTCGCTTATTCATTCTTCTGCCTCAGTTACCCTAGCTGTTAGATTATTTAGATTGGATTGGATCTCATTGATAGCATTTTTAAGTTCTGCCAATTCAGCTTTCATTTCTGCCCTTAGAGACTCTATGTTGTCATTAATTGATTTCTCCATTCTAGCCATTGTCTTCACAACTGCTACCCTGAATTCCATCTCCGACATCTTGTTTATATCTGCATCCATTTGTAAATATGTAGCATAAGTCATAATCTCTGAGTCTTTTCTATTTTGGGGGTTCCTCCTCCTAGTCATTCTGTTGATGGATGTTTGAGGGAATGTATAGAGTTCAAATTATTGACCAGAGCCCAAGCAAGATGCATCTGTTTTCTAGGGACCTTTAGGGTTGCTGGCCTCTTGTTTTCCCAGCCTGTCTTCTGGGGGAGGGGCCTGCCATGCTGTTACTCAGGCACCCCTGTTTGGGCAGAGTTGCCCTGCCCCCCTGTGGTGGGGGATGGGCTTAGCCTGGGGCTTTTGTTCTCTGGCAGCTTTCCCTGGTGGCTTTCCACGTCTTTTCCGTGAGTCAGAGCAGAAGAGACCGTTTCCAACCCTCTGCCTCAGAGCAGAGAGACCGCAGTCTGTTCTTCAGTGAGCTCTCCATGCTGCACTGTCTCTCTTTCTGTCTGTGCTGCTATATACTACGGCGTCCTGGGTTGTGTGCCCCTCTACAGCATCCCCAGTCCTGCCTCCAGGTCAGGGCATGTCTCTGCCCTTTGTGCTTCTAAAACCACCAGCCGCTCCCAGTGCATACATGAGACCCTGCTGCTCAGGGTTTCTGTCCCAGGGGTTACCCTAAAGTCCTTTCCCTGCCGCTACTGGTCTGCGAGTCTGTGCTCTGTCCCCAGCATGTGAGGCTGTCACTCACCAGTGGTGTCTGATCCCCATGGCCATGCTCCCTCTTGCTGTTGTTTATCCTCTGATATTCGCCTGGGGAATCACGGCTTCCCGCTTCATACCTCAAAACCAACCCCCTGTGATATTCTGTTTGTAGAGAGCCAGATCTTCTTACATCTCAGGCTGGTTTCGTGGGTGCTCAGAGTGGTCTGGTAGATATCCAGCTCAATTCCGGGGACCAGTTGAAGTAGGGTCCCCTACTCCTCCACCATCTTTCCTATAATGTGTTTTTTAATTCATGTTTTTGTGCTTGGAGTTCATTGAGCTTCTTGAATATGTAGGTTATGGTTTTTATGTAATTTGCAAAGTTTTGTCCATTATTTCTTCAAATATTTTTTTTCTTTTCCTAATCTCCTTCAGGGACTCCAATTATCAATGTTAAGTTGCTTGAAGTTATTCCACAGCTCACTGATTTTTTTCTGTCATTTTTGGATTATTTTTTTGCTCTGTGTGTTTCAATTTGAATGGTTTCTGTCTTTTCAAGTTCACTAATTTTTTCTTTTGCTTTGTTTAGTATGTTTCTATCTCTTCCATTGTATTTATTCAAATCAGACATTGTAGTTTTCAACTATAGAAGTTCAGTTTTGATATTTTAAAAGTGTCTTTCATTCTTCTATTTACCTTTCTGAGCACATGGAATACAGATAATAAACACTTAATATTCTTCTCTGCTAATTCAAAATCTGCACAAGGGTCAGTCTGTTTTATTTGAATATTATCATTATGGATTGTATTTTCCTGCATTTTCAGATGCCTGGTAATCTTTTACTAGATACCAGATTCACATTGTAAATGTAACTTTTTGGTTGCTGTATGTTTTTTTTCTATTTACATGAACTTTTCATGTTTGATTTTTCTTTCAATTATTGATCATATTTTAAGATAGCATTTTATTTATTTATTTACTTATTTTTATTTTTTTTTAAGATAGCAGTTTAAAATAACAATTTCTGGGATGCCTGGGTGGCTCAGTTGGGTAAGTGTCTGCCTTTGGCTGGGGTCATGATCCCAGGGCCCTGGGATCGAGTCCCTCAACAGGCTCCTTGCTCAGCTGGGAGCCTGCTTCTCCCTCTGCCTGCTCTGCCTGCCACTCTCTCTGCTTGTGCTCTTTCTCTGACAAATAAATAAATCAAGTCTTTAAAAAAATAAATAAAATAATTTCTAATAATAAAATGTTATATAAAATCTGCAATTGTTTACTGTATCTTCTGCATTAACATATTTTCCATTTCAAATGAATCTTTGCCATCAGCATGGAAATATTCCATATTTCTTGTCTAGTGACCTCACCTTCCCTCCTGCTTTTCACCCAGTTGCCCATTCTTCTATAACAAAAGGTCTTCAAAGAGTTGTCCACACTCTAATTTTAGTGTTACTATGTTCTTTCATTCTTCTCAAATTCTTTATAACCATTTCCATAAGTCCTTCAAAACTGCACTCGTCAAGGTCACCAGAAATATCCAGGTTGATAAGTCCAATTATCAGCTTCCAGTATTTATCTGCACTTATCAGCAACATTGCTCATAGATCACTTCTTCCTCTAAAAAAAAAAAATCTCTCTTTACATGGTCTTAGATGCCATTTCTTTTGGTTCTCTCTCTACTTCCCTAGAAATTCTTTCTTAGTTCTGTTATTCCTCCTTATCAATCCTTTCTCTTTTTACACACAACTGCTCTATAATTTCATCCATTCCTGTAAATTTAAATATGTATAACTTGACATTTCCAGGATTTATATTTCCAGCATAGTACTCTCTAAGTACCTATAATATAACAATTGCCTACTTGATTTCTTTTTTTTTTAAGACACAAAACTTAATTTAATAGAAATTTTGTTTGTAGTCCTTACACTCTCAGTGTGAGCCAAGCTGAAACCCACTGCCCCACCCAGAAGTGGCCCAGTCCTGGGAGCGGGGGAAAAGGGAGGTGGTGGGTGGGGGTCAGAGTTCAGGCCCTAGGAACCCTGTTCTTCCTCAGTGCTGGGGGTTGGGGATGCCACCCTCTTCTCCAGTCCCCCTCTTCTCCAGCCCCCCTCTGGGATCCAGGAAGGAAAGCAGATGGAATCTTGGGCCTGGGACTTCTCTTCCACACTCCTCTGCCCCCTCAGGTTGGAGGGAAACTAAGGGATTGGGGGAGAGAAAGGGACAGAGGAAGGCAAAGATGTCAATCAAGAAAGATGAGGTCAGGAATAAGGACTAAAGGAGAATCAAAGACAAAACACCAGTTTAGAAAAAAAAAAAAGGGAAAAAGGAGGGAAGGAAACAAAACCAAAATCCACCCCAAATCAGAACCTGCCTGGAAAAAAAATGAAAAGTTCTCCAGTCTCATAGAGACATTATTTGGCACAGCTGGCTCTGCGGTGGGAGCGCTCAGGCCTCAGTCCAGCCCTGGAGGCAGCGGCATGGCCCCTACAGCTCATCCTTGGCCTGGCCAGTGGCAGCATCTTCCTCTTCCTCTTCCTCCTTGTCATCCTCGTCCTCCTCATGTTCGTCCTTATCTTCCTCATCATCCTTGTCTGCCTCCTCTTCTTCCTTGCGCTTCTTGTCCTCCTCCTTCTCCTTTAGCCTCTGCTCCTCGTCCTGCTTGTCCTTCATCTGCTTTTCAGCTGCCTTCGTGACACCCCAGGTCTCGTTTCCAAACTCCTCTGCATATGTGCCTCGTCGTTGGTGATGAGGAAGTTGTCAAAGATGGTGCCAGACTTGACCTGCCAGGGATCTAAGCCCAGAACAGCAAAGTTTTCATAGGCATAGATGTTGCTATCAGGGGAGTACTCAGGGTTGTCAATCTCTGGGTGGATCCAAGTGCCCTTGTAATCTGGGTTGTCCATCTGCCAGGGCTTCCATTTGCCCTTATACTCAGGGTTCTGAATCACAGGTGGTTCCCACTCTCCATCCATCTCTTCATCCCAGTCCTCTGGCTTTTTCGCATCGGGGTCAGGGATGTGCTTGGGCTTGTCCCAGTCCTCAGGCTTAGAGTCTGTGGGGTCATCAATCTTGGCCCGCTCATCCCAGTCTTCAGGCTTCGAAGCATCAGGATCCTTTATCTTCTTGGGAGGGAGGAAGTCCCAATCATCCTCCAAGGAGCCTGATTCCACCTGGCTGTTGTCAATTTTCACCTCATAAGTGTTATCTGGCCGACAATCAGGGTATACAGGTGTGTGAATCCATCATCCTTGCAATGAATATCCTTGTTGATCAGCACGTTCTTGCCCTTGTAGTTCAAGATGACGTGAACCTTCTTGGTGCCGGGGCCACAGATATTGGGGCCGAACATGATGTTGTATTCAGAGTCTCGGTGCATGTCGGTCTGGTCCAGACCATCTGGAAAGAGCTTCACGTAGCCGCCCCCACAATCGATGTTCTGCTCGTGTTTCACGGTGAACTGCACCACCAGTGTCTGGCCCTTGTTGCTGAAAGGCTCAAATCTGGCCAACAAAGTGTAAAAGCGGGCATCCTGGCTTGTCTGCAGCCCTTTATCCTTCTCCTGGTCACCGTAGAACTTGCCGGAACTGAGGACAAATTTACCAAAATCTGACTTGTGTTTGGATTCAATCCAGCGGTCGGTCCACCCGTCTCCGTCCAGAAACTGCTCCTTTAAGTAGATGGCGGGTTCGGCCGCGGCCAGGCAGAAGAGACCAAGCAGCAGCAGCACGGGTAGCATCATGGCGGGCCGAGGGGGCGGCGACCCGCGGGCCCTTTAAATCTCTCCTCCTGCGGTGGCTCTGCAGTAGGGACCGCCTACTCGATTTCTTAATCTGAATATCTACAGTATCTCAAAACTAACACATCTAAAACCAAACTTGTGTCTTTCTCTTGCAAATCTGCTTCTCTCATAGTATTCTCAGTCTTCATAAATAGCAATTCCACTCTTCCTTTTGCTCAGGGCAAAATCTTTGGAGTTCTTTCTTGATACAATGGGATCATGAAGAGACTTTTGGTGCATCGGGAGATTTAACTACAGCAAAATTAATAATTAGGATACAGTTTAATTCTATCCCTTGTTGTTGTTTTTCAATCTATAAATTTTCCTCTATCAAGTCCAATATATATATCAGTCAAGTAAATTATGGGATCCTAAAATGTATGGCCTTGATTTAACTAAACATCAAACCCAAGAGACATCTTAAGATCTTCAGTCCATAGATCTAGACAATGGCATATAACCAAGAAAATGAGGGCTGAAAGCACAACAGAGAATCATTGACAGAGACATGCAACCCATAGGAACAACTATCAAAAGGAAGACTTAAGGGAGAATGATAGATCATGTTACATATACAAGACCTTCTTAAAGCATTTTAATAGACATATTGTTATCGCTAGTTAGCAATAGAGCCAATATTTGAACCCCTTCATTCAATCATTCAACAAATATTCATTGAGTGAATATTATATTCCAACTATTGTCCTAAGAGGAACTCAGAAATTAGGACAATAGTTGGCATATTTACATGAACTTCTTATGCTTTGTTCTTTGATGCAGTTAAGTTATTCAGATAGTTTGATACTTTTAGGTCATGCTTTTATGATTTGGTAGGCAGATCTGGAGCAGTGCTCAGTCTAGGGATAATTATTTTGTACTACTAAGATAAGACCTTTTGGGGTCCACTGTCAATGTCCTGTGAATTTTAAGCTTTTGCAGTTTGGCTGGTGTTAATGGCCAGTGTCCCAAGCCCTGTGTGAACACCAGTTACTGTTCTCTCTAATACTTTCTGATAGTTCTTTTGATGGCCTTGGGTAGTTTCCTCACATGCATAATGATAATCTGCTAAATTTTCAAGGGGTGTCTTTACAGATTGTTGACATTCTTCTTTGTGCAGTCCTGTTATCTTGAGTACTCTTTATATATGGACTCGTGATGTCTTGGTCTTAGACTTTCAGCTCCATCTCCTAAACTCAGGAACTCTACTGGGCTCTGCCTTAGCTCCCTTTTCTTATGCTGTGGACTGGAAATTCTTTCAAGGCAGTTATCTAGGGCAATCATAAGGCTTACCCTGTTTGTTTCCCATCTCTCAGGGATCACTTATCCTTTTTTGCTTGATGTCTAGTTCTTCAAAACTTATTTCATGTATTTTGTTGAATTTTGGTTGTTTCCAGTTAGAAGGAAAATGCTGTCCCTATTACCCTATCTTGATTGGAAATGGATGTTGAGGAGTTCTTCATATACTGTAGATCAAGACTGTTATCAATTGTGTGATTTGAAAATATTTACTCCTGGTCTGCAACTCTTTTCATTTTTTTCATAGTGCTGTTCAAAGACAAGAAATTCTTTTTTTAAAAAAAATTAAATTTGAGCATACTTGGTACAGAGTGTTAAATTAATTTTAGGTGTACAACATAGTGATTTGATGAATTTATACATTATGCTATGTGCACCACAAGTGTAGTTACCATCTATCACCATACGATTGTATTACAATATTGGTGACTCCAACATTACATCAAAAACTAATGAAGAAAAAAAAAACAATATCATTGACTATATACCTTATATTATACCTTTCATCTGCATGACTTTTTTATTCCAAACTGGAAGCCTATACTTCTCACTTCCCTTCACCCATTTTGCCATCCCCACCCCTTGACCTCTGGCAACCATCAATTTGTTCTCTGTATTTGTAGGTCTGATTCTGCTTCTGTTTGCTTATTCATTTGTTTTGTTTTTTAGATTCCACATATGAGTGAAATCATATATTTGTTTTTCTCAGTTTGACTTATTTCACTTAGCATAATACCCTCTAGGACATCTATGTTGTTGCAAATGAGAAATATCTCATCCTTTTTAATGGCGGCATAACATTCCATTGTGTGTGTGGTATGTGTGGTGTGGTGTGTGGCGTGGTGTGTGTGTGTGTGTGTGTGTGTGTGTGTGTGTATGAGCATGTGTGTTTTCCTTATCTTCCTCTATTAATAAACACTTAGGTTCCTTCCATATCTTGACTATTGTAAATAATGGTATAATAAACATAGGGTTGCTCATATCTTTTTGAATTAGTGTTTTCATTTTCTTTGGATAAATACCCACTAGTGGAATTATTGGATCATATGATGTTTCTATTTTAAATTTTTTGAGGAACATCTGTACTGTTTCCACAGTGGCTATACCAATTTACTTTCCTACTAACAGTGTATGTGAATTCCTTTTTCTCCACATATTTGCCAACACTTGTTTCTTCTCTTTTTGATTTTTGCCAATATGACTGGTGTGAAGTAATACCTCATTGTGGTTTTGATTTGCATTTCTTTGATGATGACTGATGTTGAACATCTTTTCATGTGTCTGTTGGCCATCTGTATGTCTTCTTTGGAAAGATGTCTATTCAGGCCCTCTGCCCATTTTTTAAATCAAATTATGTTTTTTGGTGTTGAGTTGTATAAGATCTTCCTATAAATTGGATATTAAACTCTTATTGGATATATCATTTTCAAATATCTTCTCCCATTCAGTAGGTTGCCTTTTTGTCTTGTTGATTGTTTCCTTGCTGTCCAAAAGCTTTTTTTTTTTGATGTAGTCTCAATAGTTAATTTTGCTTTTGTTTCCCTTGCCTTAAGAGATATATCTAGAAAAATGTTGCTAAGGCCTATGCCAGAGAAATTACTGCCTGTGTTTTCCTCTAGGAATTTTATGGTTTCAGACCTCACATTTAGGTCCTTAACCCATTTTGAGTTAGTTTTTGTGTATGGTGTTAGAAAGTAGTCCAATTTCATTCTTTTACATGTAGCCGTCCAGTTTTCAGCACCATTTATTGAAGAGATTGTCTTTTCCTCATTGCATATTCTCACCTCCTTTGTCATAGATTATTTAGCCATATATGCATGAGTTTGTTTCTGGGTTCTCTATTCTGTTCTATTGATCTAAGTGTCTATTTTTTTGCCAGTACAATATTGTTTTGATTATTACAGCTTTGTATTATATCTTGAAATTTGGGATTGTGACACTTTCAGCCTTGCTTTTCTTTTTCAAGATTTCTTTGGCTATTTGGGATCTTTTTTGGTTCCGTACAAATTTTAGGATAGTTTGTTCTAGTTCCATGGAAAATGCTGTTGTTATTGTGATAGTGATTGCATTAAAGATGTAGATTTCTTTGGGTAATATGGACATTTTAATAATATTAATTCCTCCAATCCATGAGCATGGAGTATCTTTCCATTGTGTCATCTTCAATGTCTTTTATTAATCTTTTATAGCTTTCAGAATACACATCGTTCACCTCCTTGGTTAAGTTTATTCCTAGGTATTTCATTCTTTTTGGTGTCATTGTAAATGCAGTTGTTTTGTTAATTTCTTTTTCTGCTATTTTGTTATTATGGATTTCTGGGTATTAATTTTGTATTGTGTAATTTAACTGAATTTACTTATTCTTTCTAGTAGTTTTTCTATTGGAGTCCTTAGAAGTTTCTAAATAAAAATGATGAGAGTGTACATCCTTGTCTTATTCCTGAATTTAGAGGAAAAGCCCTCAGGTTTTTACCATTGAGTATGATGTTAGCTGTGGGATTTTTATGTATGGCCTTTATTATGTTGGGATATGTTTCCTCTAAACCCACTTTGTTGAGGGTTTTATCATGAATGGATGTTAAATTTTGTCAAATGTTTTTCCTGCATCTATTGAGATGATTAAATTATTTTTACCTTTCATTTTGTTGTTGTGGTATATCATATTGATTGATTTGCAGGTCTTGAACCATTCTTGTATTCCTGGATGAAATTCCACTTAATCATTGTGAATGACCCCCTTTTCCCTTCAAATTTTTATTTAAATTCTAGTTAGTTAACATATAGTGTAATATTTGTTTCAGGAGTAGAATTTAGTGATTATTGTATTATCAATGAGTTCCTTTATATTTGTTATTATTGTTTTATATATTTGGGTTCTCTCAAGTTGGGGGCATAAATATTTACAATTGCTAGATCTTCTTGTTGGATAGACCCCTTTGTAATGATATAGTGCCCATTTTCATCTCTTGTTACAGTCTTTGGTTTAAAATCTAGTTTGTCTGATATAAGTATGGCTACTCCAGCTTTCTTTTGATGTCATTAGAATGATAAATGGTTTTCTACACCCTCACTTTCAATCTGCAGGTATCTTTAAGTCCAAAATGTGTCTCTTGTAGGCAGCTTATAGATGGGTCTTGTTTTTTTTTATCCATTCTGATACCCTATGCATTTAGTCCATTTACATTCGGGGTGATTATGGAAAGATATGAATTTAGTGCCATTGTGTTACCTGTGAAATTAGTGTTTCTTGTGAGGTTCTCTGGTCCTTTCTAGTCTTTGTTGCTTTTGTTCTTTTATCCCCACTCAAAGAGTCCCCTTTAATATTTCTTGCAAGGCAGGTTTAGTGGTCATGAATTCCTTTGGTTTTTGTTTGTCTGGGAAACTCTTTATCTCCTTCTTTTGAATGACAGCCTCGCTGTATAATGTATTCTTGACTATAGATTTTTCCTATTCCTCATGTTGGATATTTCCTTCCACTACTTTCTGGCCTGCCATGTTTCAGTGGACAGATCCTCTGTGAACCTGATCTGCCTTCCCTTGTAGGTTAAGGACTTTTTTTCCCTTTCTGCTTTCAGGATTATTTCCTTGTCTGTGTATTTTGGGAATTTGACTATGGTATGTCTTGGTGATGGCTGACTTTTGTGAATTTGATGAGAGTTCTCTGT